TCTGCCTGCAGGGTGTCAGTGTGCCTGTCCCTCCCCTCTGCCGATGCCTCTGATACTGCTGTTTCCTTCCTTATAAGGGGTGCACTGTCTAGGCGGCCGTGTGGAGGCTGCTGGGATTCCATTTCAAGCTTTCACTTTCAGATTGTGTAGGAGCCAGAGAAGGGTGAATGCTATTTAAGGGAAAATTAGGAGAATCCCAGGGATCCCACCCTGGTGAGACACCCCTCCATGAGTGCCGAATTCTGCCTGTCTACTCTTTTGGGAACCATCTTCTCTGAGCCATGTGGCTCCCTTGGCACCCAGCAGGGCTCCTGAGAAGTTAACAGCAGGTGCTAACCCTATAAGAAGATTTGGGGAAGCACTGAAACTTCTCAAGTTCGAAGGGACGCCCTAGAGGCCCCATCAGTTCAAAGCAGGTATGTCAGTTTTGAAGACATGTTTCTTTTAAGAAAAGAAAGTGGGGAGCAGCTAGCTGTAAGGAGGACCTGAGAATGTGGTGGCGCTTGGGTGGGGTGGGAGGTGGCACAGGAAATGGTGCAGCTCTAAGAGGACCCAGCACAACCTCACTGAAGATTGTACTTCACTTATTTTAATAATGTGTCTGTAACATCCTGAGGCAGGGCCCTGTTCTAGAATTTTAGGTAGTGACTCTTCAAATATAATTCATATATTTCTCATTCCGAACTTGGTTGGGAGGTGCTGATACTATTCCCAATTTTCTGTGGGGAAAGTGAGGCAAGAAGGTTAAGAGACTTGATGAAGATGGTCACACAGAGTGGCTGAGTCTAGAGATGACCTCAGAGTCAGCCCCAGAATCTGTCCTCCCAGGACCATCTCCTGCCTGCCCCCAACCCCAGCCAGCATGTGGTTTGAGGGTGTTTTCTCTGAGCAGGACTCATTTCCCTTCTCTGCTGTTCTGTCTCACTGAGTCCTTCACCCCCACAGAGTTAGTAAGGGGGAGGAAGAAGCCCTTGGTGTGGATCTGACCTGGCTCCTGCTGTTTGGGGCAGGACCTTGTCCTTGGCCCTGGCAGGTCAGGGCTGGGGAGGGACTGACCTTCAGGTGAACTGAACAAGCAGTCAGAGTGGGACAGGGGCCTGTGGGGGGGCCCCAACTCTTTGGGGACAGTGTCGTGTGTCCTGAGGCTTCTCAGGGACACCTGCTCACACTGAGGGGGACAGGACCACAAGCAGGTGCAGGCCTGTCCTTCATGGGGGGCCTGGGTCTGGGCTCTGTCCTGGGAAGTCACCGGGTATGATAATGGGGAGGGGAGGGCGGTTTGCACCCCATGCCCTGGTGCTGGAAATGGAGGGGCCTGGTGTTCTGAGCAGAGTGGGTCTGGGGTGTGGGTTCCACAGGGTGGGAGGGGAAGGATGTTTTCGCCAATAAATCTCATGGTCACTAGAAGCACAGAAGTTTTCAGAGCTCTGAAAGGAGACAGGTCTGTTTGTTATAGAGCAGCCCCGATATTGAACGGGTTCCTGGCTGTGGGTCCTCACCCGCGCGTTTTAAAGGGACTTATGAATACTCCACTACAGACACAAACAAAAGGTTAACAAAAGGTTTATTTACAAGGGAAAAGGAAATAAGGAAAATGTACAACTCAGGGAGAAAATAGGGAAATAAAGTCTGTAATGCGTCCTACCCGATCCGCCGACCTGGAAACCCAAAGGCACTCTCAGAGCTGGCCAGACCAGAGCTGGCCAGAGGCTGCGAGCTGGCGGAGAGCCAAAATGGGGGGGCCCCCAAAGCCCACGTGTATGCCTTTTATATCCACCTGGCTGCTTAAACCCCACCCTCAGGTCCCAGCCACCTTCCCTTTGGTGGTGATGGGATTTGGAGTTCCCAGTGTCTTTGGCTTTGGCCTGGGGTGGGGGTGGAGTCCACAAAGCCTGTATGGAATTAGCTTTGGGACATCCTTTTCCCCCTAACATGTCCTTCTTGGTCTCAGGGCCTGAGGGGTCACCAGGAAGGGCCCTGCTCCTGCTGGTGGGGGTCGCTGAGCCCTGCTCTCCCCACTGAGCCCAGAGCTCCTGGCTGCCCTACTCCTCTGTGTGGGCCTGGCTGCCTCCTGCCCTGTCTCTTCCCAGCCCTGAGGAGATGGCACCCTGCTCCTGCCCCAACTCTGTGCTCTGCCTCCTCCCCTCCCTGCTGCTCCTCTTCCAGCTGCCCCCCAGCGGGTCCCAAGGTAAGTGTGTCCCTCCCTGTTCCTGTGTCTCCCTTGGGTGGGTGGGGCCCAGGGGCTCTGGGAGCTCCTCCTTCAGGAATTGCCTTTGTTCATTTGTCTTAGCATAATGTCTTCAACTTCCATCCATGTTGTTTATATGGCATGATTTTACTTATTTAAAAAAAAAATCTGTGGGTCTCCCTGGTGGTGCAAGGGGTTAAGTCTCAGCATCATCAAGCTATCACCAGCCACTGCAGCAGGAATTTCATTGCTGGCCAGGGAGCTAATCCACATCTCCTAGCAGACCTCTCCTGTCTGCCAGCTGCTCCCCTCAGCAGTCTGTTTCTGTCAGTCTGCCTGTTCTGCTCCTCACTCTGTCTCTGGTGAATCCTCTCAACCCCTCCCCCCACCACCCTGTACCTCTGGCTTACATCTCAGATTCTTGTATGCTTACATAAACAAAAATAAATCTTAAAAAAATCTGAGTAATAGTTCATGATGTGTATGTGTGTATTTATATGTAATGTTACTCTATTTCTTTGAATGAATCTCTTCAAATTGTGGGATATCCATTATGCTTATGTGGTCTTTCCTTATAGATCGCTTAGTTCTTCCAGTGTTTCTTCATTTATCTCTTTTTTCTTCTATTTCAGCCCATTGTTCATTATTATCATCAAGTTACTGATTTGATCTTCCATTTGGTCTATTCTGCTTCAATAGCTTCTCTAGGAGTGAGCAGCTTCTCTGCTAATCTTTTAGAGCCCCCATTTCTGTGATGTTAATTAAAGGCTTCAATTTCTCTTTTCTTTTCACTCATTTTATTTTTCACGTCATTCATTTATTGTTCTGAATTTTATTTTCCTCTTTGATTCACCTTTCAGTGTTTTCTCCATTTCTTTGACTTTCTTTATTATGGCAATTTGAACTCTACTTGATAGTAAGATACGATCTCCCATATCTTTGTAGTTGCATATTGCAGAGTTGGTCTCGTCTTGTGATTTCATGTTCCATTGAGATCTCAAGTTCCTGGGGCTTATATTGCTGCTTTAAATTTTCTATTTTGGGGGCCTCCCTGGTGGCACAGGGGATTAAGTGCAACACTGTGAAGCTGTCTGCAGCCTCTGCAGTGTGAGTTCGATCCCCAGCCTGCCAGGGAGCAAGCCACATAGTGCAGCAGACATCTCCTGGTTTGCCCTCTGCTCCACTCAGCAGTGTACTTCAGTCTATCTGCCTGTTCCGTTCCCCATTCTGTCTCTGCTGAATGCTCTCACCCATCCCCCCCACCCCATCTCTGGCTTGTACCCCGTTCTTGTGTGCATAAATAAATAATTCTTTTAAAAAAATCTTATTTTTGAAAAAATGTGTCTGTAGTGGTAACTTAGAGAGTTGAACTACTTCTAACTTTCCCTCAGTGACCCTGTTGTTGTTGTTGTTATATTTGTAAGTTATGCAGGACTAGAGACCTGATCCTTGAGATGCTGAGTCAGAGACTGCAGGGCCTGCAGTCATCCAGCCTCTGGGGTGGGTGCTCTGGCTGGGGTGTGTGAGCTCATGTTTGGGGCATTCCTGACACCCGCCTCTCCCAGTCCAGCCCTGAGACTCTGCCCTGTGCACACTGTCCCTGAGCTTCAGGAGGGCGGGACCAGGCCTGAGGGGGAGTGGGGGTGCATCCAGCTCTGTACCTTGTTTCTTTACTGGGGACTTTGTTAGCTGGAAGTGCCCAGTCAGAGCTGTGAGACCCTCTCTGTCAGCTCTCCCTGCCCAGGGTCATGTGCCTGGTTGAGTGACAGCCCCACAGTGTGTGCTGCAGCCTCCCCCACTATGACCACAGCCTCCAGGTGTCTTCTCTGCCTAACTCTTAGTCTGCCTGGTGACTGCTGTATAAGAGTGTCCCTTTTTGTCCCAAGCCTGGTGTTCTCTGGGTGCCCTGTTCATTTATTCACATTGATGATCCTCTGTGCAATGAAACAAACTTCCTCAGACACCGTCTTAGTCTCCAAAGAATTCCTTTGAAATGCACGTTCTTGGGCACATCCCAACTGGCTGCATCACACCTGGGGTAGGGTCCCTTTACAGTTACAAGCCCTCCTGGAGATTGAGATGCTGAAGGTGAGAACCATGGAGTTAGAGTTTTTTTTTATGGAAGGCCCTGCTATCAGGTACACTCGTGAATGAGGAAGCATCTTTGACATAATTTCTAGACCATAAATTGTGATTAGAAGATCTTTCCAAGTTTCAGAATTGTCACTGTTAATTCTTCATGTCAGCTGTCTGCTCATCATGTTACAGAGCAGCCCCGATATTGAACGGGTTCCTGGCTGTGGATCCTCACCCGCGCGCTTAAAAGGGACTTATTAATACTCCACTACAGGCACACACAAAAGGTTAATAAAAAGTTTATTTACAAGGGAAAAGGAAATAAGGAAAATGTACAACTCAGGGAGAAAAAAGGGAAATAAATTCTTTAATGCGTCCTACCCGATCTGACAACCTGGAAACCCAAAGTCACTCTCAGAGCTGGCCGGATGCTGCGCGGAGAGCCAAAATGGGGAGCCTCCAAAGCCCACGTGTCTGCCTTTATATCAACCTGGCTGCTTAACCCCACCCTCAGGTCCCAGCCACCTTCCCTTTGGTGGTGATGGGATTTGGAGTTCCCAGTGTCTTTGGCTTTGGCCTGGGGTGGGGGTGGAGTCCACAAAGCCTGTATGGAATTAGCTTTAGGACATCCTGTTCCCCCTAACAATCAGACACCTTCCCTCAGCCTGCCTGGGCCTCCCCCAGTGATGGTGTGTGTTCCCTGATATGACTGTGTCTCTCAGCCTTTCTAACGCCCATGTCTGCGTTCACAGAGATGTTCCATGTGTTTGGCCCCTCAAAGCCCACAGTGGCAGAGCTGGGTGAGGACGCCACACTGCTCTGCTTCCTGTACCCAGTAATGAGTGCAGAGAACATGGAGTTGAGGTGGGTCCGGTCCAATAGCCTGGAGCCAGTGTTCATCTATCAAGACCGACAGGAACGACATGAGGAGCTGATGGCCCAGTACGCAGGGCGGACCTCACTGGTGGGGGAATTCCTCCATGAGGGGAAGGCTGCTGTTACCATCCACAAGGTCCAGGCTGCTGACAATGGGCTGTACACCTGCTTCTTCAGCAACGGAGTCTTCAGTGACCAAGCCAGCTTGGAGCTGCAGGTGGCAGGTTGGTCACATGTTAAATATCTCAAGAATCCTGGAGTTTTGGAATTGGGGGGGGAAGTAAGGGCAATGCAATTTAGTTTTTCATTTCATTTATGAGTAAGAAAAGGCTTATTAATTCATGTTTTATGAAATGTTAATATACAGGGTACCTACTACATGTCTGGCCCTGTTCTAAACTCTTGGACACAAAAGCAAATCTAATAAAGTTCTTCACCCGTGAGTGTATATTTGTAGTGGGAGATAGAGCAATCGTAATAAATAACCAGGGCATAAATGACTTTTCGAAGTGAGAAGTGATGAGGACAGGAAGCTAAATGGAGCGAGGAGATGGGTCAGCAATGTGGGGCTGAGGCTGAGGGGAGGTTGCAGTAATAAATAGTAGCTCAGGCTGGTGCCATGGGAGCAAAGACTCCAGGGAATTGGGATCATAGCTAAGTAGATATCTGATGTGTGGGTGTTCCTTTCTCCCCAGTTTTATAGACAGATAATTAATATGTATCATATGTAATGAGAGGCATACAGCATAATGACTGACTTATATATACAGTGAAGTGATGGCCACAATAGGTTAAGTCACATCTGTCTGCTATTATAGGTTTAATAAAAAGAAGAAATAAAAGCAGAAAGGAGAAAATATCCTCATTGTACAGAAAAAATTCTTTGGAGTTTGTCCTTTAACAACTTCCCTACATGTCACACAGCAATGTTGGCTACAGGCATGTTGTACATTACAGGGAAGGGAATTCCTACGTGGAGGCACAGCCCGTGTGAATGACCTGGGGGGAGCGTGTGTTTGGTGTGTGATCTGCTCACATGGAGTCCTCATGGCTGGTGGGGGAGAGTGAGGGGCAGGATGTTATAAGGTGACAAGACTGTCATGAAAAGATGTTGTGAGTACATACTGGAGAGGTCGAGGGTGGCTGATGAATGCTCCCAAAGGTAATCATAAAAACCTCCATAGGATGTAGTTATTTGAGCTGGGATGCCATTTTATCTAACAAATTCTATAAAGCCCCTCAAACCAGATGAGGAAATGACAATGGAGGCCCACGGCCTGGTGATCGTGGACAACAGCAGTTAGATTCTTTAGTTTGGGGTGCTGGGCCTTGAGGGTACAGGTGTAAAAAGAGTGAGCACTGCAGAGAGAAGAGGGTTGGGGGAGGAGTCAGTCACAGATGAGGAGTACTGGTGCGCATAATGTGGTGTTTGTACGTGGAGCTGTTGAAAATTTTCATCACAACAGCGCTTAGCATGTGATTCTGGCAGGAGTGGGAAGGACAAGGGGGGGACAGTATCTGGAGTTGTGGCTGCAGTTACGGGGTGGAGAGGGGTCTGGTTCACACAGTGGCGGTGGGTGCACAGGAGGTGCCATCAGTGAGGTTTAGAAATAACCCAATTGAATGAGGAGAATTGGGTCACAGAATTTAAAGTGGAAGAAGGAATTGCGGAGGCTTCCGAGGCTTTGTAGAGTCTGTTTGATATTTAACGTCAGGAGCATTAATAATGTGTATCAGTTGCCTGTCACCATAGTGCTGCTGTGTAACAAAGAACCACAGAAAAAAATCTCTCAGTGGCCTGTAGTAATGGACTTGTACTCACATGGGCTGGTGGAGTTTCAGCTAACCTGGGATGGACTTGACTACTCTCCACTGAACTTGCTCCTACATTATTTGGTCACATGAAAGGTCACCAGGTGGGTCTTGGCTGGGCTTGTTACATGAATGGTCACTGGCTCCAGCTGAGGGAGGGCAGCTTCAGGGGGAAAGGCTGGTGACAGGCCCTGCTCCATGAGCTCATCCTCCAGCACCTGGACTGCGATGTCCTTCCATGGAGATGGCAGAGGGAAGGCTCATGGGCCAGCACTTGAAACCTCTGCTGACTCACATGAGCTGATCTCTCATGAGACACATGAAGTCACATGACTGAACCCAACGTCAGAGTGTGAGTAAAATGTACGTTGTAGAGCGTGAGCTGAATATGAAGAAAATGAAGAATCATGGATATTTTTGTAACCATTTTGCCACAGATGAGGCAAAATCATGAGTTCAGGTGTAGAATTTCGGTGTGAAGAGCATGTGAGGAATCCTGGCAGATGTAACCCACAGGGATGGGGCAAGCAGGGAGGGAGGTGGGAAGGCTGGTGAAGTGATATCTGGAAGTGATGTATGAGGAGACATGAAGTTGAGGGAGAAGAAGCCCTGGGAGAGACTGTGAGATAAGATGGGGTTTTAAGGACTGAACCCTGGGACTGTGCTGCCTTCAAGGAGCAGGTGCAGGGAGAAAAGTCAGGAAAGGGGCTCAGAATGGGGCCAAGTTCCAATAACCCAGAGGGAAGTGACCAACCCAAAATGGAGCTGGTTTCAAGATCAGTCAGGAGTATCCTGACTGAAGGGAGACTGGCTGAGAGGACCTTGGAGACTGGGGTTGACAAATGGGAGACTTTTGTTGCATCATCAAGAACAGAATGGACTAGAAGGAGAAGCTGCACTATGGAGGCTGAGATGTTGGTGAAAAATGAGAAAATGCAGCTGTTTTTGAATTATAAGGTGTACTCTTCTAACAAGAAAACTCTACAAAGATTTGAACATGTTTATATAATTATAAAAATAATAGGAAGAAAGGCAGAGATGAACATGTCAGGTCATCATCTTGCTCCCCCAGGGGTGGTCTCCCCCATACCCCCCGGAATGCACCTTGACAGCCTCCCTGGCATTGTGCACAGGTGGGCCTGCCCCACCTGACTCTCATCTTCCCTCCGCAGGTGTGGGCTCTGCCCCCCAAATGCACATCTCGGGGCCAGAGGAGGATGGGGTGCGCGTGGTGTGCATGGCCTTGGGCTGGTTCCCGGAGCCCCAGGTGCAGTGGAGAGACTCCCGTGGGGAGCAGTTCCTGGAGTTCTCCGTGATCCAGGCCCAGGACACTGAGGGGCTATTCAGCGTAGAGGCTGCTCTGGTGGTGAGAGACAGCTCTGTGGGGAGCGTGACCTGCTCCATCCTCAACCCCATCCTGGGCCAGGAGAAAGCCATGGCCATTGTCATCCCAGGTCAGAGCTACTCTCCCCTCCCTACTCCCTGCAGGGTCAGAGGGAGGGGCCAGCATCCTCAGGTGAGCTGGGCTGGCCTGGCCTGGGCTGTGTCTTGATGGGATTTCTGTGGGGTCTCTGTCTGCAGAGCCCTTCTACCCCCGGGCCTCTCCCTGGAAGCCGGCTTTCCAGGTGATCCTGCCCTTGCTGCTGCTCCTGCTCCTGGGGGCTTCCTGGTACACCCAGAGAGAACATTCCACACAGATGCGGGAGCTGCAGGAACAGGGGAATCTGGGCCAGGCTAAGGAGCGGGACCTACAGACAAAGGAGGAGGCCCTGAAGGACACAGGTAAGGCAGACAGGGGCCAGGCTGTTGAGCAAGGCAGTGGGTGCTGAACGGGACAAGCTGACACCAGAGCCAGAGCCCAGGGTCCCTCTGCAGCAATATCAGAGCAGATGCTAGCCCCAGAGGGGACAGTGAAGCTTGGAGGCTCATGTTTGTCTGAATGTGGAACTTCTAGGACTCAGAGAGATTCATTTTTGTGTCTTCTCTGGGCACAAACTTTGTTCTTGGGACAGTTTATGCTTATATTTTTAATTCTCTTTCAGGTGAACTCCAGGCAATTCTAGGTAAGCTCTGCTCTCCCTCCTGAACTCTGTGTCCCCATCATAGGAGACATTCTGGTTCTTAGCTCACCTGTGTCCTGTGTTGTCTTTCAGACCAGAGGAAGGCAGCTTACCTGGCTGGTGAGTGATGCTCCAGGTGTCCTGGGTCCCTGTCCCCTGTGCTCAGGGGTCCCTCCCCTTGGCTGTCTCAGCACAGACATGTGGAACCTTCCTTGGGGTGGAAGTGGGGGCTGGTACAAGGCAGGACCCTGCTGCATGGGCTCTCCGGATTTGGGTGCTGCTTTCCCCCCATTCTTGGGGTCCTGGTGGGTGATGACCCTTGGAGTCTCCTGCATCCTTGTCTCATTCCAACCCTGACTTTCCCACCATGGTGCTGGCTTTCTAGTCCTCAATGTATCTCGTTCTTGGTCATCACCTGGAAGTAAAGCCAGCGGCTCTGGGTTTTGATAAGTAAATGGACTCCTGGAGTTTAGGAGTGTGACCTTCTCCCGCCGTTTTTCCCCAAACAACCCCAAGGAAAGTCTGTTCTCTCTGCTCCTGAAGATGCTGATCAGTAGTGCTGGGAGAGGACAGGGTGACCTTGCATGGGAGGGAGTGGGGGGACTTTCCCTCTCCCAGAGAGTGTTTATCACTAGAAATACTGCATTGGAGGAAGATGGGCCATTTCTACTCTGGAGCTGGTGTGATGTTCATGTAGTTTTTATTTCATCTTCACATTAATTTCCAAGGAAATACTGAATGTAATAATTATGGAATAATATCTCCATTAAAAAATATCTTCCCATGTACTGTTTTTGATCCTGTGTAGCAACACTGAGTAGCAGGTGAAGCAGGGGCTTTGAAGTCACTGAGGCCCAGAACTGCTCAGTGACTTGCCCGAAGCCCCACAGCAGCAGCAGGCAGGGCTGTCAGTCTGTCCTGCAGGCTCCTGACCTGAGCCAGGGAATTTCCCACCACCCCCTGCTGTCTGCACAGGGCAGGAGGTCATGACCTCTCAGCCTCTCCCCTCCACCCCTCAGAGAATCTCACCTGCAGAACAGGGGGAGACCAAGACCCTTGGATCACTAGAGCAACTGGTTGTGCTGAGGTCTCATCTGTGTGTTCCCTTTCAGCCTGGAGGAAGGCCCAGCTGTACGCAGGTGAGTGGCCCTGAGGGTCCTGGGGCTCCCTCCCACCCTCCCCTCTGTCCCTTCTCTATCAGGGACCCCCACCAGTAAGGACCTGGGGCCCCTTGTCTTCCTTCACTCCGGAGGCTCCATCTGAGAACAACAGGGCCCTCCTTGTGAACATAGACCTGACTCCACCTGCCCTGTCCTCCCTACAGGTCATGTGGGGTCAGGACACCCTCTGACCCCCTGTCAACTGGTCTTCTCTTGTGGGTGAGGACTGAGGGGGTCAGTGTGAGGAGAGGCTGCAGCAGGGACAAGTGTGTGGTTCAGGATTTTACTGATGTCTCGAAAATTCCAGACATCCTACTTCCTGCTTCGGAGTTAGGTCTTCCTAAGGGGTGCTGGGTTATGGATCCTTCTGGATCCCAAAGCCCAGTCCTATTTTGGATCTAGTTTTTGTTTCCTGTTTCCTCTTGATTCTCTGTCTTCTCATGCATGCTCTGATTCATGTCCAAGCTGTCTTTTCCTTCTAATCCCTTGTGGGTGCTGAGGAATCAGTTGTTTAGGGGAGGTGTTCTGAATCTGGGTCAGAGCTTCTGGGTGTTTATGACTCCTGACAGAGGCCTGTGAACATTCTGAAATTGCTGTAAAATCCAGTTTGTGTGTGTGTGTGTGTGTATCTTTTTTGTCTTTGTAACAAGATAAACAATGTATGATTTTCAGAACCATCATTTTTTTAAGGAGAATTCTGTCTGACAGTCTCATGGTTGCTATTATTTAGTTTTTTTGTTTTTTTTTTTTTAAGAGGCAACTATGTAGACTGGAAAAGAACAAACCTAAATTGGTTATAATCAATTTCCAAAGAATAGGGGGGAAATTTGAAAGAAAAGTCTAAATAGAGATAGAGAGGGGAAGGAAGGAGAGGGGTGTGTGGGAGAAGAGCCTTCTAGAGGTTTTGGGCACAGTCACCAGTTTGAATCTGTGCTGTGCAGACGCTGTGCAAGGCTTGGGAAAGAAACACAGTGGGTCCTTTGAAGTACTTCAGATAAACTTACAGTTTGAAAACCATTATTGAGGCGACCATCTAATTGTGTTCCCTCTCACATTAGCTCCCCTCGTAACCCCAGGGCAGGGTCTGCGCTGGGTCCTGTAGGGAAGGTCAGAGATGCTGGTGAAGGGCGATCTGAGCCTCCTGAGCCTGAGTCACAAGGCCTTTCCCTGCGCAGGGGTTTGTTCATGGTCTTGGACACAGACCCTGAGACACAGAGAGGGGCTTTGTAGGGGAGGGACCTGGGGACCAGGAGTGTGAGGACCCTCCTGAGAGTCTCCCTGGTTCCCCTGGAGTTCATTTCCACACAGTGAGGATCATAGCATCGTCTTTACCATCATTCCAGCTTCTGCTGAGTTCATGTCTCATGCATTTTAACATAAACTTTCCTTTGGCGTGCAAAAACAATGCTGTGTTTGAATGAAACACCATGAATACACTAGAATCCACATTTTGATATTGACAGATTCATAGATGGATACATGTGTGTTCTCGTATTATTTGTGAAATTTAACAAAAATTTTTTACTTAAAGTTTTGCTACAAAAATTAACTGACTAGCGCAGTCAGTGCACACACAGTCCTGGGCACTCTGTGTCTCACATTAAATGTCACTGGATTTTCTACATTTGTTCCTGCTGTTCCTGTTCTTATTCTCCTCCACTCCCTCATTTTTATTGTTGTATGAAGAAGTGTGGTGTAGAGCATTATAGCGCATGTCAGCTAATCTCTCAGGAAAAACAAGTAAATTTAAAATCTCCCTTTTTTAGAAGAGGTCACATATCTGCCACCCAATCATTGCATGTGATCTTGTTTCTTATCAAGCAAAGATGGAAATGTCAGTTTCTCTGAGTGAGCTTGTGCAGGTGTGGCTAGTGTCACACATTTACTCACCATGTGCACAAGAAGATTTTGTTCCTTATCCTATAGATGTGGATCCTGGATTCTCCTCTCTCCCCCTCTCTCCTCACACGGTTGGAAAACTCACGCTCTTCCCTGATGGCCTCAGAGTCTTGCTTTGTTTGATCTGAGTGTTGGGGAATGACCTGCTTCCTCCTTCCCAGGCAAGTGTGGGGTGGGGGATGACATGGCCTAGGGGTTCTTGGGGGCCTGTGCTCCCCTTTCAGTCATTTCAGGGCTTCCCTGGGGCCACTGGTCTATGATCCTGTGTGGCACATGCTGAGAGGGGCAGGCACATCCCGTTGGGTCATTAGAGATTGTGGGTGATCCTCCCCCTGCAGCAGAGTCAGGGGTCTGGGTCTGTCTCTGGTCAGCAAGTTGATGAACATTCTGGTGCCTTCCTCCTGTCCCATGTCCTTGTCCTCTTCTCCTCACCCGTCCTTCCCTCCCTTCCTATTCTCCAGGCCCCTCTTTCTCCCTCCATCTTCCCCCACAGCATTGACACTTCAGGGTCCTCATCTCTCCACATGCATCATGGGTTCCTCATGCTCCCTCTAGACCCTCCCCTGCCAGGCTCCTGCTCACAACTCCTGGGCCTCCCACATGGGGCATCAGAGCTCCAGCTGCTGCTGACACATGTATCTACACCCTGAGCAGCGTCACCCACAGTTTATCATTTCACACGCCTGCAGGGCAGACACCTGAGACCATGTCCTGGGACTAACTCCAGGGTCTGGCAGCTCCTTCCTTCTAGGAGCCCCTTCCTCTCCCAGGATCTAGGGCCCCCTGCATTGACTGGGGACCCCTATTCTCTGTCTACACAGCCTGCCGTGCAACCTCTTTATGGCCCTGCTGCCGTCACCATGTGACTGTCTCTGAGCACAGGTGCAGGGTCACGGCTGTTAAGGATCATGTGATTGGCCCCTCCTGATGATCCTTAGTAATGTCCCTGTTTCCAGGTCCCCATCACTGTCCTGCCTGCAGATTTCTCTTTCTTCTGCTAAGGACACATGTTTACAGGGTCTTGAGATTAGGACATGGACATCTCTGGAGCCATTCATTTACTTATGGAAGTTTTTCTTGGAAGCTTCCAACTCTCTGATCTATTCTTGAAGGAATCAAATGAGTGCATCTAATGCTTCTGTGTTTGTCTCTCTGCAGATGATTTTGTCCCCACAGTCTATGTTAATGTGCGGAGATGTCACTAGTGTTTGGTCCTCTCAGTGTGTGTCCATGTCCCTACTCTGCACGTCTCTCTCCCCCTGGAACCCTCTCCACCCCCTCCTGAGTGGGCAGGACCCTCTGCTGATTGTCCTGTGTCTCCACACTCATGTGACAGTCACCCCCGTGAGCAGCTCAGTGACAATGTGTCATTCTCTCTCTCTCTGCCTGTCTCTCTCCCCTTGTTGGACAAACAGAATTATTCCAAATCAGAGGGGAAAGCTCTGCCCACCAGGCCCCGTGTCTCCAGGCTTCCACAGGTCTTTCCTGCCCTGGGAGGCAGGAGTCTCAGGCACACACAGGCCTGGGCTAGTTGTAGCTCTAAGCCCCATGGCTCAGAGAGAAGCGGCACGTCCAGGTCTGTGAGTTCTTTTTTTTTTTATTTTAACATTTATCATTTTTTACATTTTTTAGACATTATTTGCTTCACCCCACCCCCTCAGATTGAGTCCCTATAGAATTTCTTTCCCCACAGCACCCATGCACCATCACCACAGTCCCCTGTGCTCCTCCCTCCCTCCTGCTCACCCTCTCCCTCCTCCTCCCCGGCAGTATGTCTCTGGTTTATAATTGTCTGTTTTTGCTTTGTTGTGTTTTGTACTGTCATTATTATTTTTTTTACACTGATGTCTTATTTGGTTCCTATTTATTCCTGTTATAAGTGAAACCATCCAATATTTTTCTTTTTCCTTCTGGCTTATTTCACTGAGCCTAAATCCTTCTAGCTCCATCCACGTTGCTGTGAATGGCATGAGTTTATCTTTTTTTGATTGCTGAATAATATTCCATTGTGTATATACACCACACCTTTTTGATCCAGTCATCTATTTTTGGGCATTGGGTTGTTTCCAGGTTTTACCTATTGTAAATAGTGCTGCAATAAACAGAGGGGTACAGGTGCTCTTTTGAATCACTGTTTTTGTGTCCTATGGGTAGATTCCTAGGAGTGGAATTGCTGGATCATATGGTAATGTTAGGGGGAAAAGGCGGTCCCAAAGCTAATTCCATACAGGCTTTGTGGACTCCACCCCCACCCCAGGTCAAAGCCAAAGACACTGGGAACTCCAAATCCCATCACCACCAAAGGGAAGGTGGCTGGGACCTGAGGGTGGGGTTAAGCAGCCAGGTGGATACAAAAGGCAGACACGTGGGCTTTGGGGGCTCTCCATTTTGGGGCGCTCGGCCAGCGCGGAGCCTCCGGCCAGCTCTGGGAGTGACTTTGGGTTTCCAGGTCGTCGGATCGGGTAGGACGCATTAAAGACTTTATTTCCCTATTTTCTCCCTGAGTTGTACATTTTCCTTATTTCCTTTCCTCTTGTAAATAAACCTTTTATTAACCCTTTTGTGTGTGTCTGTAGTAGAGTATTCATAAGTCCCTTTAAAGCGCGCGGATGAGGACCCACAGCCTTTCCTCTTGTAAATAAACCTTTTATTAACCCTTTTGTGTGTGTCTGTAGTAGAGTATTCATAAGTCCCTTTAAAGCGCGCGGATGAGGACCCACAGCCAGGAACCCGTTTAATATCGGGGTTGCTCTATAACAGCTACTCCATTTCTAGTAAACTGAGGAACCTCCAGAGGGTCTGTTAGTTCTTCACAGGCACACAGTTCTAGGCATTTATTTCCATAAAACCTGTTCATGAAAACCTAGTTTCCAGGATGGGCCTGTGGCTGGTGGCTGAAAAGTATAATTTGATGGTTGTATCTGGGTAAAGACCTTTCTGTTCTGTTGGTGTCCAGCCTCTCACCGGAGTATTAAGCTGTATGTCTTAAATCATGGGAAATTCGCAGCATAAAAACTGTGTGTGCGTGTGTATGAATCTAAAAGTTAAATGCATACACTAAATGTTTCCAAAATTTTCCCCTGTGAACTCTGTGTCACTGTCTTAGAAAACTAGGCATGGGCCTTGATGTGTCAGTATCTAGAATCCCTCACGTGACATGTGTGTCTCTTGCAGATTGGCGGAAGGAGCAGTTCCGGGCCTGTGAGTGACTCTGTTCTCTCTGGGGCTGCTCAGCTTCTGACCTTTCCTTCTGTTCTCTGTGTGGGCAAGACTCTGCACCCTCGGTGGGGGTAGCTGTGGCATCACACAGTTGGGCTGGGGATGAGTGGTCATGCGTGGTGAAGGGGCTCCTTAGTCTTTGGGGTCCAGGCCAGTCCCCAGGGGTCCTGTGACATACTTGACCTCCAGTAATATTGTGGCTCCTTCTCTTGCTTGGGGGCTGTGGGCTTGGGTCACCAGGCTCTCATTTCAGGGGACATATCCCTCTCCCCTGAGCATCTGGGGTAAGGAGGTGTGTGCCCTTGTTATGTCAGGCTGGTGCATGGGTTCTCTCTCTGCAGGGTCTGTCACTCTGGATCCAGGTTCTTGCCACAGCAGAATTGTCCTCTCTCTTGACAAGAAGAGCCTGACCTGTCATCATGATGGAAAAGAATCAGGATACGGTGTTTTGGGTCTTGAGGGCATCACATCAGGGCGCTGTTACTGGGAAGTAGAGGTCAGAAATGCAGACAAAATCCGGTGGGCACTGGGGGTCTGGAGGAAAGATGAGGAAAATAGATACGGTGCTGTGTCCCCACTGAAAGGGAAATGGGTTTTTGGCCGGCACAGAAATGTTTTCCAAGCCTTTACTAACCCTGATATTCCACTACCCCTTAGGCAGGTTCCCCACAGGGTGGGGGTTTTCCTGGACTATGCTCACGGGGATGTCTCCTTCTATGATATTACCGATGGCTCCCACATCTTCTCTTTCCCTCCTGAGTCCTTCTCTGGGACTCTCCTTCCATACTTCCTCTGTTATTTAGGAGACGTGTTCATGACCCTCTGCCCCTGGAGACTGGACCCCGGAAGCCCTCTGTGCCCATGAACAATCCTCCTTCTCTGGAGAGGTCTGTGAGTCCCCCAGGGGAGGGGATCCCCTCAGGCTCTGGTGTGGGTGGGGCTCCCCCAGGGCCTGAAGCCCCCTCCTCCCCTGCACCCCTGAGACTGTGTCCCCATGAGGTCCCTCCCTGCCCAGCCCTGCCCTGGCCTCTTCTTGGGGCTGCAGGTTCCCTGTGGACAAACCTGTGCATGAGTCCTGGATGCTGGAGTCTTGTCCTCCTGCTCTGGGTGCAGATTCCTGGGCCGTGGCTGAGAGAACAGTCATGTCAGGCCAGGCCTTGTGCTGAGTCACAACTTTGAACCCGTTTAGGGCAGCGTGAATTTTTTCATGGGAAATAATTTATCATTTGGTAAAGAATATATTTAATAGGGATTTTAGCTGTTAGGACAAGAAAAGGCATGAGCTCTGAATGGAGTTCACTAAATTAATTGGAGTTTACTTTATCCAATGTGACTTTGTGTGGCGGAAACTAGAACCTGATGGAGGGTCCCCAGATCTATTTTTCTGGACTATCTACCAGGAAAATCTGCCTCCAAAATATTTGGGGAAATGGCAGACAATAGGCTTTTAGAGGAGCCTAATATCTGTTATCTGCTTCCTATTATGAAATGGATGAAACATGCTTAATTTTATCAAGCCTGATGAATTTCTGTTACCAGTGATAAACTTGTGGTGTGTTAATTTGGTGAACTCAGGAGAAGGATCTTGGTTCTTCTTCTGTGTCAACAGCATTTGGATAGCAGATAACTGCTCCCTGAATTAAGATGAGAATGAAGAAGAGACTCTCACACTCCGAGTGACTTGGGGAGCTGGGACCTGATTTCCAGGGATCCCTGTGCTAATTTGGTCCTTCCACACCCTGTGGTAAAGGGTCAGGGGAACCACAGCTGCCAGAAGAAGCAGGATCCTGAGCCCCAGACCTGCAGGGAGGAAGGTGTGATCCTCCCCCAGGGGACACTGACCTGGTTCTGGTGGGAGGAGAAGACAGAGAAGGGGGTGGGTGGGGGAGGTGTCAGACATCATGATGGTATGTAAATATAAAGAGACTGTAATGGT